TCCAGCTGCTATGATTTGAACGTCTGTGTCTGCTCCAAAAAGCACTCTCAAACTTACTACCAAATGTAACAGAGATGGAGCCTTCGGGAAACGACTATGTCATGAGGATCCATCTCTCATAAGTAGGGTTAGTGCCTCACAAAAGGGTTTGAGGCAGACTGTTGGGCCTTTCTGTGGCTTTGCCATGTGAGGACCTAGGAACGTGGTACTATCTACGGAAAAAAAGAGTGGGTTCTCACCAGACACTGAATCTCTGGCACCTTGATTTTGCCCTTCGCAGCCTTCCAAACAGGGAGAAATAAATTTCTATCATATAAATTACCCAGTCTGAGATGCTACAGCAGCCAAATGGAATAAGACATGAGTCTCGGGAGATAGAGCGTTAGATATTCCTGGATGTAGAGGTACAGAATGGGAAGCTGCAAACAGAAAAACAGATTCAAAATTCTTAAAAGAAAATCTTTTAAATCTTTAAACCTCCCAACCCTGCTTCCCATGGCTAGGCAGCTTCCTTTTACTTCCCTGACGGAAAACATAGGGAATGTGAAAACACCAATGGTGGTGCTCTCCATCTGCGGCTGACAGTCAGAATGCAGGCAACCAGGTGCAAGCCAAGCCCCGGCCCAAAACAAAATTAGATAAAAGATAGGCAGGTCCTGGTGAAATTTCCATGGCCTACGAAGATGCCTCCCACCAAGACCAGATCCCTGTGTCATCACATTACCAAGAGGTCTACTCCACCTCACTCCCTGCTCATATCCACTGTTAGAGCCATTCTTAAGTAGGAACCAAGAGTAAAATTCAGTAGACATTTGAGGAGAATCTCCAAAATGAAAAGGACGGACCAAAACAAGCATGAAGAGAAACATGAAAGAAGCAATGCAAGCAAAAATGAAGATCCCAGACTCTCACTTTCTTCATACTGCATACTCTATTTTATATATTTTTAAATTCATAGAATTGGCCGGAGAAATAGCTCAGTGGCAAAAGTGCCTGCCTGGCAAGCACAAGGTCCTGAGTTCGATTCCTGGTGCCAAAAAAATAAAAAATAGAGGGACCAGAGATGTAGCTCAGTGCTAAGGCTCTGAGTTTAATCTCCAGCACTGAAATTAAATTCACAGAATCAGCAATTTTTTAGAAATTAAAAATTTGAGATCAAAAATTTTAAGTTCAATTGAAAACCTGAAAGATATAAATTGGGGGAATCTACTACAAAGCTGAAGAGAGAAACAGAAACTAGGTATAAATGAGAGAGGAAAAAGAAAAAGAAGTAGTACAAGAAACAATGAGCAAATTTTTCTGTGCCCAGCAGAGAGAGTTACAGCACCACACTAAAGCATTTGGCTGTAAAAATATAAAACAATAGAAGTGCAAGATTGTAAAAGTTTCTAGAGAGCACTGCACTGTCTCACTAGTGTAAAACCTGAAAGAGTTAATTTAAACTAGGAGATATGATAGACATTGTGAAATGATAGGAAAATGCTCAAGGGTAGAGGGCAACTGGGATGTGGGAAAAGAGAAGGAAAAGAAGGAGAAATTTTGTATGTATGTACATACAGGATAGTCAACGTAATTGTTCTACTGTCTTGTATTTCTTTGCTGAAAGAAACTGTCAATGAGTCCTTGATTGATCAACATTGCATGTCTCTATCTGTTTTCCTGAGAAACCACTTTGAAGATATCAAGATGTAATACAACAAGCATTGTTAGTTTCCCACCACTTTGTGTGTAACTCTGTATTGTCTGTACTGTTCTTTTGCTATTCTGTAAAAGGTTGTCCGTCTGTTAATGTTTTCCTCCTTTTATTTTTAAAATTTAAAAAAAGAAAAGTTTCTAGAGAGAAAAAAGAAAAACGGGTGCATAAAGGTAGAAAAGCAGATGACACCAGATTTTCCACTGTAAGACTGGAAGCCAGAAAGCAATGGGGCAATCATGTCAAACACTAAATGCTACCAAAATATACTTCCAACACTGACCATTTTCCCAGGCAAATCCAACCAAGGATGCAGCGTCATGAGACCCATGGAGATACACAGGCATCCTAACCTTTGCCCCTCACTGCCCTTTTTCTCAAGAAGTTCCTGGACGATGAACTATAGGAGGAAAGAAAACAAGGCACTCTGTCAAATGACAGACCAACTCTAAAAGAGGATGACACAGCATTTAGGAAAGATGGGATGCAACAAGGGAGATAAACAAAGAGACTGCAGAGGAGTAAGGTCCAGGGAGTGGCAGGTGACCGCAGTAAAGAAGGCCTGGAGAGCAAGCAGTCCAGAGAGGGAGCAGCGGCCTCCAGGACACAGAAGAAAGGACCAGCAGTGGGACCAGACTCTCTGATGCCTCTGAACATCCGGAGAGAGAATCTGTCATCTGTCAGAGAAAAAATAATCTGTGATAGATAAACTGAAAAATAAATAAAAATACATTAACTCCAGGAAAAGAGATATTGTTCGATAAAGGAGACAGAATATCGTCTAAGGTAGAAATTACAGTTACAGGGCCATGATCATAAAAACACAAAGTGTTAATTTAAATAAGAGCGTAATTTAAGGATGATGGCGGAGACAAACCACAAGAGGGAGTACAGTAAGAGAACCAACCTCGTCTTCCATAGCAGTGTTCATAGATATCTTAATTATCGAAGTGAAATATCATAAGGATGTTATTAAGAAATGTGGAGGTGACTGCAAGAGAAATAGCTGAAAAGGTTCAAAGCAGTTGTCACTAGAGACAAAGAGAAATGTAGTAATATTCAACTATCTAAATTAGTCTATATGGTATTTTGATAGAACTTTATATAAATGAATGACAGGACATTCAGGACTTATAGACTATTCCTTTGAGAAGCTTACATATTCTGGGGGAAAAAAAGAAGAAACTACTCATTAGCTTTTTAAAAGAAGTTTGCAGGTCTACTGATAGAGAAGAAACCATTACAGTGACAATAATAAGGCATCTGAAAGAAGGTGGTCTCCCAGGAGGCAGAGAGAAACAATGCATCAAATCAAGCTGAGACAGAAACACAGAGTCCCAGGGCTGGGAATTTAGCTCAGCGGCACAGCACCTGCCTGGCAAGCACGAGGTCATGAGTTCAATTCCCGGTAC